TGGCAGAAGAAGGAGACAGGACCCATTGCTAGCTTCTGTAGTGGGGGGGGGTGGCCTTCACCCCCAAGAGCTCACCCAGAACTGGGACGGATATCCAGATGCTGGGTAATGTGCAGGAAGGAGGTAGAAGGCGTTTGGGCAGCCTTCTAGGTTCCTGACCAGAGAACTCACCAAGCCTGTTTGTGGACAAGTCTCTGATTTTGCTCCAAGTCATTGGGTCCTGAGCAGACGCCCTGTATTTAATCATTATTGTTAGAAAAGCATCTGAATTACACTGACTCACCTTTGAACGCATCAGTATTTCAAAGCACTTCATGTCCACTATCTCTTTATTTTTAAATAACCTCCAGTGGCCCAATTTCTGGGCAAGCCAATGGTTGCATGGATGGATAGGCAAATTGCCCATGTACTGGAATTTGAGCTGGTGACCATTTTTATAGTTGTAGTTTTAGGCAAGAAAGATACGGACGGCAGATTACAGTATCTGGCTTGTCAAAAAAATTTTTTTTTTTTCCAAGAACTCCCCAGTCTATCGTAAGGCCCACATTGCTGGGGAGATGTCCCTCACTTTTGTTTAGGACCCCGTCAAGCTCCAGCAGTGGTATGCTTGTAAGTGTTTACCCACCAGCTCTGGGTGGAGGAGGGCCAGGTGGACAGCACTTGCCAATTTCCATAGCGTCGACATTCCCTCCATGCTGATTTCCAGCCTCGGGATGGATGTGGAGCCGGGAATCCTGGAGACCACAGCAGGAGAGAGCAGGCTTCTGGCCAGAACTCTGCTAACTGGCTGCGTGACTTCTGAGTTTTAGTGTCCTTTTCTGAAACAAGAGTGGAGTTTCATACCCTGCAACATACCCTTTGGCTCTTGTCTCCAAGAGGGGAGAGGGAACGTTCTCTTCAGTACTCTTCCTCTGCTAATGGCCTGCTCCCCAAACACCAAAGCACCACTGTTTATGAAAACAACTTGCCGCTGTAAGTTGCTAAGTGAGGACCAAGGCTGCCTAGAAGCAGGAGCCGGGCCCGAACTTCCGCACAATTACGTATCACACTCCAGAGTTGGAAACCTCCTCACCAACCCCTTCCCCATTCACAGTGGATTAAGGGTTGAATTTAACAGCCCAGGAAAGAGAGGTAGTTGACCCTGTGTGGTTCATAATGATGAACCACAGGATCCCCAGGTCCTTTATTCAACAAATACTTCCGGGTCTCTAGCACTTAGGATGTGCCAAGCTCTGTTCTCAGTCCTTGATAAATACTGTGTTTCATTCTCATGATAGCTCCGTAAAGCAGGTGTTCTTTCTATTTTCCCATTTTACAGATGAGGCACAGAGAGCTTAAGACACAAGCCATAACTAAATAACCCACTTCTGTAACCCTATGATCTCTCTTTTAACATCTGGAACAATAACTAACATTCAGAGAGAGCCCAACTTCCCAGTTTCTGGTAACCAGGGATCCAGACGAACTCTCAAGCTAAAATCAACTTAAAATGGTAGAAAAGGTATCTGAAAACATGCCACCACATGCTGACAAAATAAGAATGAACACCTGAAATCAAAAGAAAAAGATGGGGCGCCTGGGTGGCTCAGTGGGTTAAGCCGCTGCCTTTGGCTCAGGTCATGATCTCAGGGTCCTGGGATCGAGTCCCGCATCAGGCTCTCTGCTCAGCAGGGAGCCTGCTTCCCTTCCTCTCTCTCTGCCTGCCTCTCTGCCTACTTGTGATCTCTGTCTGTCAAATAAACAAATAAAATCTTAAAAAAAAAAAAAAAAAGAAAAGAAAAAGATGAACCCTGAAAGATAATCCAGCAAAGAAGCCATCTTAACCTGGCAGATAGCTGTCAAGTCTAGAATATTTGAACTCTAGCGTGAATGGTTTTTGAGGCAAGAGGCCAGAAATAAAAGTCCAGGTGGGAGATGAGACTTGCCCCACAGTAATTTGGGAGACCCTATTGGTGTGCTGGTGGAGTTTTGCCGGTCAGCTCTGGGTGGGGTTGGGAAGAGGATCATGATGTATAGCCTTTGCCAATTTCCATAGTGTAAACACTCCTGCTACAGTTGATTTCAAATCATCAACGTGGGGTCACTGTTGGGAAGTGCAGGCCTGTCAGCCAGCTGCTCACATCACTGATTACCCCCCTCCCGTGCCTCTGGAGGCTACAATAAGGAAACCAGACTAGCTCAGCAAGGCAGCCTGTATTTGCATCACTTGGGTGGTCCAGGGACCCATAAGCCCCGAACTTGGATATAGGTAGTCCTGGAAGAGCAGGGTCCTCAGAAGCCTGTCAGAAGCAAATGTAAGTCATCTCTGGAGGAAGGTAACTTCATCCTAGGCCTCAAATTATCCCTATAAATCAATTTAAAAATACAGTGTCCAGCCTGGCCAAAGAGAACCAGGCAGATCACAAGGAAATAGGACACCATGAGCAAAAACTAGGAGAAACTGACCCTCCAATACTTCAAATATTAGAATTATCAGACACAGACTGTAAGACAGCCCTGCTTTGTTGAGAGAAAGGTTAAAAATATCTGCAGGGGACAGGGAACTATAAAAAGTGACCGGCTAGATTTAGAACATTTGTAGAAAGCTTTATAGTTTAATCAGAGATCATGAACACAAATACCTTGGGGCCATCTGGTAGTGCAGATGAGTTAAGTGACTGGTGACCTGGAAAGCTTCGTGTGACGGGCACTGGGCTCCTCACCGCCAGCTGATTGTTACCATGTGGCACTGGGGGGCCAGTCTGCAGATCTTCTGCTCTTTCTGGAGAAGCTGGACATTGGGATTTCTTCTCCTTATGGTAAAATACACATAAAACTGACCACTGTAACCATTTTAAAGTGTACAATTCAGTGGCATTATGTACATTCCCAATGTTGTATGGCAATCACCATTATATAGTTCCAGAACTTTCTCACTACCCCAAAAAGAAACCCCATACCCCTTGGAAGTCACTCTCTATTCCCCGCCCCCACCCCCAGGCCCTGGCAACCACCAATCTGCTTTGTCTCTATGAATGTGCCAGTCTAGATAGCTCGCGTAGGTGGAATCATACAATATTTATCCTTTTGTGACTGGCTTGTTTTTTTACTTAGCACGTTGTCAAAGTTCACCCATGTTGTGGCATGTAACAGTACTTCATTCCTTCTTAACACCTGAATAACATTCTATTGTGTGGATATACACATGTATCCATTCGTCAGTTGATATTTGAATTTTTTATATCTTCCTATTTTATTTTTTTTATGGTTGTATTATTTAAGTAATCTACCCAATATAGAGACTTGAACTCACTACCTGGAGATCAAGAGTAGCATGCTCCTCAAAGGGAACCAATCTGGTGTCCCAAATATCTTCCTATTTTTTTTTCAGATATATATATATATATTCAGATTTAAATAAATTAAATTTAAAAATTAAATTTAAATTTAACTATAAAGCTTTCTATAAAATTAAATTAATTTAAATAAATTAAATTAAATAAAAAAATTTTATTTACTCATTCATGAGAGACACTGAGAGAGGCAAAGGCAGAGGGAGAAGCAGGCTCCCCGTGGAGCAGGGGGCCCAATGCTGGACTGGATCCCAGGACCCTGGTATCATGACCCAGCCGAAGGCAGATGCTCAACCAACTGAGCCACCCAGGCACCCCATATATTCAGAAGTTCTTTGTGGTCCTAAGCCATTAGAGGACCAACAGTAGAGACCTCTGTTTTATAACCTGCTGTGACATATTTTCCTATATGATGTTCAGAATGACTCGCTGAGGTACTAGCTTATTTTTTGTATCAGGCATCCCATTTCTCCAGTAGCTTTTCTCCCCAAAACCAAAATTTCAGGGAAAACTGCTTTTCCAGAATGAGTGGGAGTCTGGGGTCTAGCTTAAGGCTGTGACCTTGAGCTTCCCTGCAATTCAATTTCCCCCCAGAGAAAGACTGTGGTGTTGGACTAGTTTATCTCCAAGACACCAGGTTTGCTAACAGGGTCACTCTCACTTGCCCCTAGCCACCATCTGGGCAGGAAGAAGCTCTGGTCAAGTCGGTGTAGTGGCAGCTGAACACAAAGACGTGGCCACCTGGGTTATCCTGATAATTGCAGAGTCTTCCACAGAGCTGTCCTGAGGCACGATGGGGAAGAAACCACGTCAAAAGTTCTCCTTGTAGGCCACCCAGCCCGTTTCACCTGCTAGGGTCATCTGTGGGGTTAGCAGCACCTGGTCTGAACCTGGGACTTCCGGGCAGGAGTAGCTTCAGTTTAAATCGGGCTTTTCTGATAGCAACCCCAGAGGGAAACGAAGAGCCCCAGTTGAAATGCTGATAATCCTTGAGGTTCCTTCGCAGACAGCTATTTAATAGGCAAGGTCGAATGTCTCGCGGTCGTCTCGACCCTCGCCCCTTTCCTCCGATTCTAGCTTTCCAAAAGGACGAGGGAAAGACAAGCGACGTCCTAGCTCGCGTGTTTGCACAGGGCAGAGGGCCAGCAGAGATCCGTGCTTCCTAACTCTTTCCAAGAGCACTTCGCATCCCGAATCGCCGCCTTCAACTCCGAGAAGTAGGGAGCCCCACAGGAAACTTGCATTATTGCACCCGCTGCCACACACCCGGGGCAGCGGACCAGCAGCCGAGCTGGCTCCCGAGGAATGCGCCCCCTCCACGGCCGCCCCGCCGGCGCCCCATCCCCGGGGGACCCCGCGCCACCTGCGGCCTCCGAGTGAGTGTCCCCGCGCCCCGCCGCCCCCCACCCCCACCCGCGCGCCGGGAGCCGGGGGTCGCCGGCCGCCCCCCCAACCCCCCGGGGAGCGGGGGGTCGCGGGCGCCTAGCTGGGCGGGCGGGGGAGGCCCGCGGCGCTGGCCGGCGGCGCCCGGAGGCCGCACTGCTGGCGGCCGCGGCGGCGCTGCTCCCCCTGCTCGGTGCAGCTGGCGCCCGGCGCTTGCGCACTGGGCCCCAGGCGCGCGGCGGCTCCGGCTTTGTGTGTATGTGTGTGAGTGTGTGTGAGTGTGTGAGAGAGTGTGTGTGTGAGTGTGTGAGTGAGTGAGCGGGCGGGCGGGCGCGAGTGTGGCCGCCGCGGAGCGCGAGCAGGACCCGGCGGGCGCGCTCCCCCAGCCTCTCTCTCCCCGCCAGAACCATGTCGGGCAGGTCGGTTCGAGCCGAGACCAGGAGCCGCGCCAAAGATGATATCAAGAGGGTCATGGCGGCTATCGAGAAAGTGCGCAAATGGTAAGCGGAGGCGCCTGCTCGCTCGCTCGCCCGCCCGCCTGGCGCCGCGGCCGCCCCAGACCCCCGGAGCACATACAAAAAGCCGGCGGGCGCCGCGCCGCGGGCCGGCCGCGGGCCCGGGAGTTGGAGCGGCGGGCGGCGCGCGAGCCGGGTCACCTGCGCGAGGCGGGGGCCGCGGCCGCTGCCCAGGTGCGCTCGCGCCTGTCGCCCACCTGGCGCGGTGGCGGCGGCGGCAGCCTGGAGGCGGCGGGGCGCCCCGGGGCCGGGCGGCGGAGCGGCGGGCCGGCCCCGCCGCGGCGCTCGGCTCCCGGGAGGGGGGCTCGGGGCCGGCCCCAGAAGCCATTTCGTTTTGTGCAAGTCACATGAAAGCGGCTTCCCGCGCGCCGGGGCCGCGATGCCGGCGGCGGAGGGGAGAGCGCGAGCTCCATTGTGCAGGCACCGAGCGGGCCGCCGCCGTCTCCGTCTCCTCCCCGCGCGCCCCGGGCGGCGCTGCGCCGGCCCCCGCGCCCCTGCCCGCGCCGGGCCTCCCTCCCGCCTCCCTCCGCGGCTGGCTGGCTGGCTGGCTGGCTCGCTCGCTCGCTCGCTCGCTAGCTAGCTCCCCGCCTCCCAGGCCCGGCGCCCTCGAGTCTGCGGAGTTTGCAGAGCGCGAGCCGTTTAAATTTAGCGCTTTGGGCTGCCTGGAGCGAGGGCTCTCGGCGAGGAAGAAAGATGGGGGCGAGCGCGAGGAGGAAGCGCCGGGGCGGCCGCGGGCCCGGGGCGCCCGGCACCCCCGCCCAGCCCGTCCTGCCCCGCCGGCGCCCGCGCGCGGGGGTCGGCGAGCGAATCTTTTTGGCCAGAAACCGGTCCGCGGCCGAGTCTGCCTTTCCCAAAGCAGCAGCTCGTGTTTGTTTTGCCGAGAGAGCCGTTGTTTTTGTTCTCTGCGCTGGGGAGAGGAGATTCGGGGCCGGCGGTGCGTGTTCTTCGAGCTCACGCTGGAGTCTGTCCGGCGTGGCCTTGTTGTAATTAATAGGACTAAATGCGTTCGCCGCCTCGTCGGGGTCTGGCTCCGAATCGGCCCGCGGGCCAGGCCCCAGGCGCGAGCACATCGCCAGGTTGGGGCAGACTTGTTGAAAACTCCCGGCACCTTGATTTCAACTTTATTATTATTATTTTTTTTCCCACGGCTTCACCAGGGTCAGGGAGGGAGAGGAGCAGCCGCAACGATCTGGAGTGTCAGCCCCAGCGGGCTCGTCCTGACCCTTTTATTTAAAGACTAAAAAAAACGGGGCAGGCCCCTGGTGGGGTATGTTTGTGTTTAGGGGAGCTATTTCTTGAGTAACGCCTTGGTCTCTAAAAACCGCTGGGGGTAAGCCTGCAGCCTAGCCGTGTCACAAGTTAGCTGTCCTTTCTGAGTCAAACCCAACAAAAAAGGCAAGAGGAAAATCAATAAAGTCCACGTGCTTCCCGGCCTCCTATGGAAAGGGCTGTCTGCGGATGGCCGGATGCCCGGCCAAGGGCTGGGTTTGGCTCCAGTGGGACAAAGAATTTTCAGAACCGTGAGAAGGAGAGGCCTTCCAAAGTTGCTATCCGAGTTTTCGGGGCTGTGGGAGCTCCGGGGGGCTGTCCAACTGGAGCCATTTAAAAATGGCAGAAACAGCTGCTGGGCCAAAACACACACAGGAAAACAAGCCTGCAGTCCTCTCTCCGGTGGGATTCCCAGAGGGAAGGCTGGGGTCGTCCCCTGCCTTAGTGTGGGGGTGAAAAAAGAACCAGTGTCTGGGCCCGAGACCCTTCTGTCAAGGCCTGGAGGTGAGAAACCGGCCAGGGGCAAGCTGCCTTTCTCTGTTCTGAGAGGCATGTGGGGCCTTCTGCTCCAGGTTCCCAGCAGGACGGAGGCTGTGGCACCCTGACAGCTGCCTCTCTGAGGCCAGTCTGCCAGCTGCTTTGCAGGGAGGCCAGATGGAGTTTTGGAGCTCTACCCTGGCGGTGGCAGAACAGGCAGCCTGGAGGCCCCCTCTGGCCTGGCCCAGGTTTGGGGGAAGGGTTTTCCTCCCTCCCTGTGTTTTAGGAAACAGGTCATGATAAAGACCTCAGGCTTCAGGATCTCAGGGCTGGGCTTCCAGTTCACTTCCTTGCTGTGACCTTGGGCAAACTGCAGAACTTTGTTCACAATGGCAGCCGTGGGTCTGGGGCTGCTTTCTCCCTCCTAGAACAAGACCACGTCCCCCAAAGCACCTGTTCCTGCAAACAGGAGCAGTCACTAAGGGTGTCCTTATTGTAAGGTGGGTGCCATAAAGTGTGTGTTTTGCTGGGTTTTTTCCCTGCTCCCCCTTTTTAAAAAAGATTTTATTTATATATTTGACAGAGATCACAAGTAGGCAGAGAGGCAGGCAGAGAGATGGGGAAGCAGGCTCCCCGCTAAGCAGAGAGCCTGACACAGGGCTCGAACCCAGGACCCTGAGATCATGACCTGAGCCGAAGGCAGAGGCTTAACCCTCTGAGCCACCCAGGCACCCCATTTTCCTGCCCTTTTTAAGCAAAAAAGACTTTGCCTCATTTTCAGGGTTTCCCCAGCTCCCAGAAGCCAGATCTCACTTTCACTGTACTTTTAGACTAGGCCTTCCAGTCAGTCCTTGAGGCTTTGGGTTGTTTATTAACTGTGTGGCCACCAACCATGCATTTCACTAGTGGCGGGGGCATCAGGTTGCCAGATTTAGCTAATAAAATTACAGGACACCCAGTTAAATTTGAATTTCAGATAAACAGTGAAATAACTTTTTAAAAAATAAGTGATATATATGTATAAATTTTAGTATAAGTATGTCCCATGCAATATTTGGGACATACTTACACTAAACTGTGACAGATCTGAAATTCAAATTTAACTCAGCATCTTGTATTTTATCCAGAGGACAGAGGAGTCTGGCATACCATTTATCCTGTGGGTCTAGCGTAGTATTTCTTCTCAGCTCTGGGGACCCCTAAAAATCTCCCCTCTGGCAACCCTTCCCTTCCCTTGTCCCCAGAAAAAGCCGGCAGTCAGCCGTGACCACCCCATCCCTAAATGCCAGCCGTTTTTCCTCCCTTGTCTGCTGTCCCAGCAAGGCAGGCTGGTAGGCTGTGAGGCAGCCACAAGATGGCTGGAAGAACAACAAAATGGTGGGCCCGTTTTTGGGAAACTGGGCCAGGGTTAGGGGCCCAGTGTGGGTGGAGAAGAGCAGGGGAGGAGGGTCATTGGGTGGGAGACAAAGGATTGAGCCACAAAGTAGGCTTAGGCCTGGGACTCCTGGGCCCTCGGTCTGAAGGGTCCCTCGGTGACTTCCTAAAGGAGAGAGGCCTGCTCCCTGGAGACTTCCCACCCGTTCTAGAGGGAGGAGGAAGTTGTACCGTGTTTAGGGCCTCACCCCTTTACGTTTGGGGGTATGCTCTCGCCAGACATAGGGCAGGTCAAGTGAGCCTGGGCCTAATTAAGACGACCCCAGCCATAGACAAGGCTTCCTCAGGTGTCACGGTCTAGCCATGGGAAGTGAATACAGAGTGAGGGTTTCATAGTGTCTCTGAAGGAGTCAGTGGGCCCCCTTGGATGGTGACCCTAAGATGGTCTCCTTGGCTAGCCCTTGAACCTGGAACCAGGGAAACATTAGAAATTGACCATGGCCTGGAAAATCTGTGATGGGTGTTTACGGTTTATATGGGAGCCTATGCTGGGGGGGGCTGTTGGGGCTTTATTGCTACAGCTAGGACCCCCATTTGCCCTTTGTCCAGGAGCCCAGGTCTGGAGGGGAAGAGAGCGGTACCTGAGCCTGAGCCTGGTTGGTTACTGGGGGGGCAGGGGTGGAGAGGCAGGGCAGGAGCCCTAACGGTGTGCCCTCAGGCCACTTTGGGGCACAGTGAGGGGTGTGGCCTGCTGGCTGTGGTGAATCTGGGCCCGGTGCCTCAAATGACCCGGTGAGTGCTGGGGGCTCTGAGAGAGCCCTGACTCCTCACACATGTGGGCCCCTCGTGGCCATGGCACTGCCTTTGTGAGAGTCGTTAAGAATCTGGGTTTTTATGTGGGGTCTTCGTTTTTTCTTCTTAAAGTTTGGCAATTGATTCAAATGTTAAAAAAAACTAATATGCAGGCCAGACATACCTGTGGGCCCCTTGTTTGCCCTCCCAGCTGTAAAGTAGTAAGTACCGCTGAATCCCGTCTTTGAGAGCCAGGGCAGCGTGTGTTCTGGGATGATGGGTTTGGGGAACTAGCAGGAACTCTGCCATTTCCCTGAGCCCTTGTGTGTGTTGTTTGCCAGGGAGCTGCCAGCTTAAGGAGACACCCAGAACCCACTGGTCATGTCTATGAATCCCTTCTTGTCCTCCCTGGTGCTTTCTCTGACTTACTGCCCGTGTCCCAGGGCCTTGTCTTCCTGCATGGCTGCTGGGCAGAGGTGGGGTTCTCAAGTGCCTTTCCCTATGTCCTAGAGCCCCTCAGTGTCCGGTAGAAATGCAAATGAAGAAAGGTTTCTAATCCTTGGGGTGAACCGGGGGGACTCAGGCTGAAGGGTCACCAACTGGGTCAAAGGGAGGTGCGAGAACCCGGCTGCCGTCCGCCCATGGGTTGCAGACCGTCAGCCACTCTGGGAAGCACGTGCAGCTTGAGGCTTCATCTTGGCGCACCTGCTGGCGGCAGAGCCCAGATCTGGCACACTTTCTGCCTTGAGACTTGTCCTGTGTTTTGCAAGCCAATTACTTTTGTTTTTGTTTTTGTTTTTAACACAACCAAACCTCAGATTTGCTGACCTGCTGGGGCCCTAGCCTGGGGAAGCCCGTTGAGGGATTGTGAGTAGTGAGTGCCTTTGGCCATTTACGTAGGATGCTAGCAATTTATGTATCTTTGTCCAGCTTCTGTAACTGATGTGCTCTGTGGAATGATTTCTTAGTTTTTCATAGGGGACAGAGTAGCAGAGAGTGGGCTCTAGGTCAGGGCCCATGTCCAGTCCTCATTCTGCCTTGGACTAGCTGTGTGACCATGAACTAGTTACATAACCTCTCTGGACCTCTTGTTTCCCACCCATAAAGTGGTGTGACAGTAGGCTTATTGGGCAGTCTTTGGACAAGAGGGCTTTATTGTAAATAAGGCACTTAGCAGATGTTGGCCTTCAGCACACAATGGCTATTATGGTTGTTGCTTTGTCACCAAGGTTGTTCCTTGGAACACTCCTGTCCCTTCCAGGTGCCTTCTGATTATTCAGAATGAAGGTGGGGAAGGACACGGGTATGGGTTGTCCATCCTGCCTCCAAGATGTGGGAGATGGGTGGGTGGAGACTTAGATAGATACGTGCCTTCACTTAATTCTTTCTGGACTAAAAGGGGGCAGGGGTGGGAGTAGGAGAAGCTGCTCCTTGAGCAGTGTGGTGTGGAGACTTTGAATAGGGGCCCTGGGGAGGATGGCTTCACCTTCTTTGCCTCGGTTTCCTTATCTGTAAAATGGGGAGGGTGACTGTTCCTGCCACACAAGGTTATGGAAAGATTAGAGCAAGTGTATATGGGAGCTTAGCACATAGAAGACAAGAGAAATAGTCCTAAAATAAGTAAAAGCCAGACTGTAGCTTCCTCTGGTCGGGAGTAGGATCTGAACAAGCACAGTTTGGGGCATGGAGGTTTCTGTAGGTTGGGTTAGCTGGTTTCGAGTTTGCTTGGGTGCCCCGAACCCCCTGTTGGAAAGGGGTGCCAGGTGGCTGTAACGTGTCCCACCAACCCGTGAAAGCCATCCACCCCTGGAGGGAAGGTGGTCAGGTGCCTGGCAGCTCACAGAGGTGCTCTTGTGACATGTAAATCTCGGTTCTGGAGGAATCCTTGTCACTAAACTTGTTGGGGGCTTCTGGCGGCTCTATCACCTGTCCTAGGTGTGCATCTGGCCCCGACATCCCACTGTGGGTCCCTTGAATCAAGCAGCCACAAGAGATTCTTTGTGATCTCCCATTTCTGAGATGGCAGAGCCTGGTGCCTGGAACTGGGACCCTAGAGCCCAAATTGCTTGGTTTGAAGGCCCAGCCTTCCTTCTGGGTGATTCCTCTGGGCCTCGATATTGTCAGGTGCACAGCCTCGGGCTCTCATTCCCAGTGTTAGGGGCAGGAAGGGATATGACCTGACTTGTCGACTGCAGGGGTCCAGGACCAACGTTTGGAGGCTGTGGCAGGAATCTAGGGAATGATGGTGGCTTGAAGCACGGTAGTGAGGAGGAGAGGATGTTAATTATTATCCTTAATGAAAACCAGTCACCCTGTTTCCTTCTCCTGGCTTGTGATTTTTCTCCCCATAAACTTTATTCTAGTAGCGGGGATCCCTGGATGCGGTCCCCCAGGAGCTTAGGCTGGGGTAGGGGTAGGGTCAGGGCCAGTGTGCAGATATGGGTATTAGGAGGGAAGACCCAGAAACACATGCCTGTCTTAGAGTTGGGATATGGGGTCTCAGAGCATCCTTCTGAGTGGCTGCTGTCCATAGTCTGGGCTGTGCATCCCTGTTGAGGCCTGGGGACCGCCCTTGGGGCCAAGGCCACTGGACATCCAGGTTTGCCCTTGCCCACCCCCTCTTGCCAGCTGCTCCAAGTGGCATTTGCCTCGGAGAACACAGGGTGGTTACTCATGCTGTTTTCTCCTGCCTTCCTTCCTCTGACCTCAGAGGCCTTGCAGGGAGGACAGGGTGAGCCCCTGCGTGCCCTTGGTGAAGGCCCCTCCCCCCCCAGCCCCGAGAAGGAAATGCCCTGCTGGCCTAAAGCCCTATCTGCTGCCCCAAGGGCTGTGGTGGCCCGGTGGCCATGGAGTTGGCAGTGGTGTGAGGCACCAAAGCCGGAGGGCCCCGGGGCCCAGTTCCCTTGATTCAGAAGAACCCTCTTTGATGGCAGCCCCTCTGTCCCCCCCAGTCTCGCCAGGCACATCCTTCAAGGAATGGAGAGGCTTTTCCCACATGCTGTCTCCTATCATCTTCATGGTGGCCCAAAGACTGATGACCCTCTGTGGTCTAACAGATGGGGAGACTGAGGTGTGGGTTGGTGAGTGACATCCCAGCAGCCCCGCTACTAGATCTGGAGTGATCCGGAGCACCTTCCCTCAACCCCAAGCTGAGCAGCCCCCGTGTCAGAGCTGTTCCTTGGCAATATGGCCCATGTGCCCTGCGAGGGGTACACAGGATTCTGCCCCAGAAACACCCTGGTAACGAGCTCTTCCTCATCTACAGGGAGAAGAAGTGGGTGACTGTGGGGGACACATCCCTGCGAATCTACAAGTGGGTTCCTGTGACAGAGCCAAAGGTGGATGATGTGAGTATGTGGGCCAAACGCCTGGGGTGGGGCCAGCCATCCGTGCTCCCTGTAGCACAGGTGGAAGGTGCTGTCCACCGCTGCTCTGGGGCCAACACGCCCTGGGAAGCAGAAGGAGCCAGCTGACCTGGGTTCTCCGCCCCACTCATAGTCCAGCCCCAGAGTTTGGCCCTCAGGGAGCTGGGACATGTCCCCTGCAAGTCGTCTCTTCTGGGTGGAGAGCCCTAGAGCTTGCCAGTGGGGACATGCCTTAGTGCCCAGCCGTCCCCTTCCTGGGGCCCTGGATACTGCGGTTTGGGTGTAGCAGGCACACAGACGAGCAGACCCTCCCCCATCCCTGTTACGCCCCTGCTCCCGAGCCCCGACTGTCTGTCGGGTTGACTCTTTTTCCCCTTTGTACAAGTGAGGGCACAGGCTCAGAGAGATGAGCCACTTCCCCAGAATCACACAGCAATTGTCGGTTCCGTTTGACTCCAGAGTGCGCGCTCCCTTTGTTGGTGGAGAGCCTTCCGTTGGCTGGAGCTGCTGGAGACCCCAGAGTGAGAGGGTTTGGTGCTCAGGATCACAGCCCCTGCTGGGACCCTGGGGTGGGGGAAAAGGGGGCCATGACCACTGGAGGGAGCTTCAGCAGCCAGGCCTGCTCTCCGGCGGGGACGCGGCCACTGCTACCCCACATCGTGGGTAGTGTTTCAGCTTCAGGGCTTCTGGGCCATTTTACCCCCAAATACCCCAGGTCAGCTCTTATTTCCAGTCAGCATCCAGAGTGGGCCCGCCTGCAGACCTTGGCAGGGGCTGTCCTGCCCAGAGTGCCTTCCCTGTTTGTGCAAGCCATCCTCTCCCCCAGGAAGATGGCTCACGCTGACCTGCTTGGACGGCCGGTTCCATCTGCTCCTGGGGGGTTGTGGTCATGATCGGGGGGTTTCCGGGGAGCCATAAGGGCGAGGCCAAGCTTCCCCACCGCCACCTTCCGTGACCCATCTCCGGTCTCCAGGCAGGACCGAGGCTCCGTTCTTGACCCTGTGATCACAAGCTCCATGCTAGGCTGAGGACGTCTGTGTTTGTCCTCCTTTCTGGTTCCGGCCTGGGCTCCTGCAGCCACTAGGGCTGCGTTCCTCGAGGCCCCGAGACCTAGCCTGTCGCTCTGGCTGGAGCTGGCCGCCCCGGAGGGGAGAGCAGAGTGCAGCCAGCTCCTCGAAGACAGCTCTCGGCTCTGGCCCTGTCTGCGCCTTGCATATCATTAGGTGTTGTATAAACGATGGTTGCGTTTGAGAAGACATGGTCCCTGCTCTCAAGGAATTTATAATCTCGTTGGAAAGATAATTATAGAATAGCATGAAGCAGACATCAGGAAAGTGCCAAAATGGATTGCGATCAAGGAGAAAGTGTAATATGTGGGCTGCCGGGAAGGTCAGGGCAGCTGCAGGCTGGGCAAAGAGGTAGAAGACAGGTGTCCCCCCCCCCCATTAACCTGTGACGTCAGACAGGTGACCCCAACTTGCTGGGCCCTAGTTCCCTCTTCTACACCTTGGAGCAGCATCAGCCAGTTTCTGGGGTTTCTGCAGCAGTGTGAAGGCAGCACATCAAATGTGGAGAACTTAACCCAGGGCTGCGGAGCCCACGGAGCTTGGAAAAATGCTAATTTGCCATTGTCTCTGAGCCTCCATGATGTACAATATGGTGTTTCCCTCACCCCCTTTCCCTTTAGGGCTATGGGCCCCACCCCTGGCTGAGCATCTGATCCCCCTGGGAACAGAGGAAAAATGCAGGTCCCTGGACCCCACCCCAGACATCCGAGTTGGAATCTGGTGGCTGTGGCCAGGAATCCGAATTGTGGGGTGGGGGTAGCTTCTCATTTTTCTAAACACCCAATTACAACATGGTTGCACCATTTTTTTTTCCCCTTCATAACTCTTGCAAGTTCTTTTCTTTCCTTTTTTTTTTTTTTTTTTAAGATTTTATTTATTTATTTATTTATTTGAGAGAGGGAAAGAGAGTGAGAGAGCGCAAGCCGGTGGGAGGGGCAGAGCCAGAGGGAGAAGCAGGCTCTCCACTGAGCAGGGAGCCTGGGATGCGGAGCTCCATCCCAGGACCCTGAGACCCATGACCCAAGCTGAAGGCAGATGCTTAACCACTGAACCACCCAGGCGCCCCAGTTTTTTTCTTTTAAGTAGGGAAAGCAATTTACAAAATTCAAACGTTACTTTAAAAACATTTTTTTTCCACTGAAGACAACGCACATGCCACAAAATTCACTCTTTTAAGGTATACACGTCGGTGTCAGTATGTTCACTGTCCTCTAGCCATCACTGCTGTAATTCCAGAACATTTTTACTGCCCCAAAAAGAAAACCTCACACCTGCTAGCAGTCACTGCCCCACCAACGCCGCGCTCCTGGAATCTACCCATTGACTCTCCAGCTCCAGAGGTGTACGTCCTCTTCAAATGCTACTTTTTTCAGATACAAAAATATACGTACCTATGTATGTACATCTTCTTGTAAATCTGCTTCCCGTCCTGTGTGCGCCCCCACGCCTCCCAGCTCCTTTCCCTGGAGATGACCAGCATTTGTTCATCCTTCCAGAGAGTGCCCGCAAACACATGTGGACAGACACTCAAGTGTCCTTTCCTTTCCGTGAATAGTGGCCTTCCCTTCCCGTGTTCCACACCTTCTTTCTGTACATCCTCGAAATAACTGAGATGTTCTAATATGCTGATGTTTCTGTAGATCATTCCATATTGGTACACAAACTGCTGTCTTATTCTCAGTAATTACTGCATTACGTTACATGGCAAGGATGTGCTGTAATTTAACGAGTCTTAGCAGCGGACATAGGTCATTTCCAACACGATTCTGTTCCATTTATAAGAACAAAACAAAAAACCAAATTGAACCATACACAAAAGCATCCTCTTCGCCATCCCTCCTCCTTGGGATTTCCCTCCTCGACTGGCTTTCCAGTGTGGTGCTAGGAGTCAGCTGACTGGTCTTTGAGAAAGCAGCCACAGGGCCTGTAGGTAGTGGGAGTGTGTGACCCGTGTCTTCTCTGTCCCTCACCTGGCATCACTGTACCTGTTTGCAAGCCTGCTGGTGCCGCTCCCCCACCCACGGCAGGTTTATGCCCAGCCCCAGAATCCTCCCTTCTGCAGGTGAGGCCCCTAATGGGACACATTCAAAGGCAGGCCAAGGAGAGCCCTCGGGAGACTTGCAGGCTCCAAGGTGAACCGGCTAAATAAAATATTCCTGTCACCCCCCGGGGGCTCGCTCACACATGCACACACAAGGTGGTGACTCGGTTTCTGCTCCGTTTTCTCCTCCAGAAGAACAAGAACAAGAAGAAGGGCAAAGATGAGAAGTGTGGCTCCGAGGTGACCACGCCGGAGAACAGCTCCTCCCCGGGAATGATGGACATGCACGGTGAGCTCTCCTGCCAGGCCCTGGGCTGTGGCACAGCACGCGGTTTTTGTTCTCACTAGCAGGTTTGTTCACATTCCAGGCAAGGGTAGGAGGGCTGGGCAGCACTGGGAGGCCTCGGTACCCAGGGGAAGGCTCAGCGGAGGAGAAGCTGTTCCCAGCACAGCAAGCCAAGAAACGTAAACCAAGCCAGAGACATAAAACCAGACCTTAAGGAGCCCAGTGACACAACCCTCACGGGGGTGACCTATCAGCCCTTTGTGCGCTCAGGAACATTTTGTGGGTCTACGATGTTTTTCCCTCCTAGGCCTGACCTGCTGTAAAAATGATGCTGTTTTCCATTTCCTATTTCACTTTGGCTGCTGGGAAACTCCAGACTGAATTTCCACATCCCGTTAATCACTGTGGAACCCAGGGATCTGACTTCCACAATGACATCCTACCTTCCTTTGCTGTTTTATTTCAAAAGTCCTAACCAGTGTCCCGCTGATGGAATCCAGGCTGGAGGCCTGCCATAGCCAGTCTGTGGTTTTGACATGGCTCACACTGAGTTCCCGTTTTACCTTGCTAACGGAGAGGACAGGCACACATCGTAAGGGCACTGGCTTCATGATAGGTATACAAACTCCATACACCCATGTAACCGGCCCAGGTCAAAATGGAAATGGGCCTGGGCATCCCCCGGTTATCGCCCCACCGCCCCACAAGGAAGACTGCTCCCCGACTTCTGACATGAGAGAGTCAAACAAGAAATTTCTGTAACATTGAGTTTCCGATATTTATAAATGAGGATATCTGCATTTCTGCCATGCCTTGAGAAATCAGACCTAGAAACTCGGGGAGTGTGTTCCCCTCCAGGCAGCTTTAGCTGTTCCTACAGGAAGCTGTGATCACTCCAGGCTGAGCTGGGAGCCCAACACGGGGCTCGATCCCAGGACCCCAGGACCATGACCTGAGCTGAAGGCAGACACCCAACCGACTGAGCCACGTAGGCACCCCCTTCCCATTTCTTGATCCCAGTTTCAACGTCTTTTTCCTTTTGACCACCCAGGCCTTCTGTACAGCACGGTGGTATTAGATAAATAAGTACATCAAAAAGGAATCTTGGTTTGATCGTGTTTCTGCCCCTCTGGTTCCAGGGCTGTCTTGCTCTGGGGAGGGAGTGCCAGGGAACTTTCCCATTTGCCCAGACGGAGCCGTCTGGAAAATAGTCACAGTCTTGCCTATTGCTGGGCCGGCCTCAGAAAGCACGGAGGGGTCTTGCTGATAGCTCACGTGTCAAGAAAGCCCCTCACTGACCATACAGTCACATTTGAAACATGGAACACAATTGAACCAGGTGTTGGAGCTGGGATGTAATCTGCCCCCACCCCCCGCCCCTGCAGTGCTTAGATCCCCACTCTTTGGGATTGAGAAGATCCCTGCCTGGCTCACAGGGGAGGGCCTTTTAGAGCAGAGGATGAAATCCCACCTGGGTTCACATCTGGCTCCCTAGGCCACCCCCCACTCCGGCTGTGTGATCCTGGGTAGTTCCTTAACATGTAACCGTCAGCTCTGGTTTCACTCTGCCCAGCCGGAATGGCAGTGCCCACTTCATAAGGTCCCTGTGCGTATTCCGTAAGAAAACCCCCTCGAAGCCCTTGGCATGTTAGTAGCTGACATTTAGGAGCTGTCACAATGCACCAAGCATCTTGCTAAGCGCATTTCATGCCTTACCTCATTTCATCCTAAAAACAAGCCCCATTGTGCAGATGAGGAAATGAGGGCTCGGGGAGGTGGCCGCCCCAGGTTAGGAAGCTCGCGGATGCCAGCGCTGGCCCTGAGGTCCTTTGGAGGCTGAATCCAAGTGTGTGGCCGCTAGCCCAGGACCCTCGCTCCTCTTCTCAGTATCCTTACATTTTAGCACATGTGTGCGGCCAAGACCCTCATCCAGCCGCCGGGCATGGATGGCCAGGAGAGGCAAGGAAAGATGAGGGCCTGGACAGGATTATCGGGAAGGCTCCCAGTGGGGCAGAGGGCGTCTGTAGCCACCTTTTTCGAGTCTTGAGATTCTACTGACGTTGACTGAAATACCAGGGTCATGTGGTTACCAGGTGACCAGGTTAGGCTCCAGCAACTTACTCGTTAAACATTAGTACTTGTTGTCATTAATTAACATAACTCGGTGCTGGGACCTGTGGGTCAGGCCTCTGCCTTTTACACACATGCACACATAGTTTGGTGTAGGAAGGAAGTTTAGATTTTCTTAAAAGGCAAATCAGGAGAGTGCACTTTTTTTTTTTTTTTTTTAAATTTTATTTATTTGACAGATCACAAGTAGGCAGACACAGGCAGAGAGGGAAGCAGGCTCCCCGCTAAGCAGAGAGCCCAACACGAGGCTGGATCCCAGGACCCTGAGATCATGACGTGAGCCGAAGGCAGAGGCTTAACCCACTGAGCCATCCCGGTGCCCCACTTTTTTTTTTCTTAAGTCCCAGGATTCACAAGAGGATCTTCCGTGTAACTAGTACACTTAGAATAAGGTGCGGTTCCCTGGCCGGGGCCATGCGACTGCCTGACGCCTCCTTGGCAGATTGAATCTGGATTTGAGCAGAGCTGCTTGAGCAAGGGGTTCTGCTGCTCAGAGCCTCAGTGTCCCCCTCTGGAAACGAGGGAGGTGACCACACCCACCCAGCAGGCTGTCGGGAGGATGAAGCAGGTGACTGTGGCTGTTTTTGCCCAGGTGCCAGCAGGCAGTAGAGCCCAGGACATGTGGGCCTGCTGTTCCGTGTCTCCTCCTCGTTCTCTGTTTCACAAAAGTGGCCTTGGTCCCAGGTGTGCAGTGTGGCCCAGAAAAGCAGGGTGGTGATACTTCTGAAATCACCACTTGGGTGTATACAACCTCACATGACTCTCTGTGCTGAAGACGGGGTCCAGCGCTGGGCACTATGTGCCCCCTGGACCCCCAGCCCTGCCACCAGCTCAACCACGAAGGCGTGGCTCCAATTACTTCTCTTTTTCTCTCTGTGTTGTGAAAAATCTCGTAATTGAGAGCAGTGGGAAGACTAGTGGGATGAACTTCATACGCCCTGGGTTTTCACTCACACGCCATGTTTGCCTCATCTTTTTTTTTTAATGGGTTAAGTTTTTTAATTGAAATGCAATTTATGTAAAAAAACAGTACAGCTCTCGAGTGTTCGGTTCAGGGAATTCTGACAGTTGTAGGCAGCCTGGGTGGAACGGTTTTAAAGTAAGTTTCCCTGCGTTGTGTTTTAAGTCCACAGCTAAACCCTTCGGCACGCGTCACTAATAAATGACATTTCTATACACCCACCGTGCTGTTTTCACTCCTACTAAAAGTAACTGTTATTCCCTTGTATCTTCTAAATCCTAGACTATATTCAGATTCCCTGGTTGTTCCAAAATGTCCCTTATAAGCTGGCACTTTCAAAATAGAACAGAAATAATTTTCACATGTCCTTAATTTAGCTGTTAATTCTCTTAAATTTCTTCATAATAATATTCCCTGCTTCTCTCTTCCTTCTGCCCTCCCCCCCCTTTCCTTTAATGGTTCTGACTTAAAGAGCCTGGGCCGACTGTCCTGTGGAATAGTATCCTACTTTCCGTTCACATGTTCTCTCCCCCTTTTATTTTGTATCAAGTGGAAGGTGGTCTAGATGCTCGATCAGAGCAGTGCGGTGTTCTTGGCAATGCTGTCTCATGGACAAATCTGGCTTCTTCACCCAGAATGAGGCCTCAGATGTCCCCTGAAGACTTGAAATGTGGGAGGCCACTGTGTGTCGCTGCTGCCCCCCCACCCAGGGCTGAGCCAGTGGGGGGCATTCAGGCAGACTCCCAGAAGCTTTCTCCTTGCAGGACCTGTGGAATGGCCCCTGGTGGCTCATCTCCAAGGTCTGGAGGGCGGGGATGTGTCTCCTTCCCTGGGAGAGGGTCCCGTGGGGCTGCTGGCAGAGAGGTTTGGGGAGGCTGGGCCCCCAACCCCCCTTCCTCAGTAGCTGTGGGATTTCAGCCTCTGGTTCTCTCCCCACCCCCACCCCCCCTCCCCGTGCAGATGATAACAGCAACCAGAGCTCCATAGCAGACGCCTCCCCGATCAAACAGGAGAACAGCAGTAACTCAAGCCCTGCTCCAGAGCCCAACTCAGCCGTGCCCAGCGAAGGCACTGACGCCAAGGCAGACGAGGCCCAGGCCGATGGGAAGGAGCTTCCTGGGACCGAAGGTACATGCCTGCAGGGGCTGGGCCTCCGTGCAATTGGTTGACAGGTGTCTGTGAGGTCCTGCCACATGCTGACACCCTAAAAGGTCACAGTAGAAGAAGGATAATGCCTAGACTAGCTCATCTTCTTATGGAGCAATTTAAAAATCCTACAATCTAGTGTTGGGAAGATAAGTTCCATGGTAAACTGTAATAAGAAAGAGGAATGGAGAGTCTTGGTGAATTATGGGGAGTGTTTCCATTTTAAATAGGGCGGCCAGGGAAGGCCTCACTGAGAAGGTGACATTAAAACAGATTAGGCTAAAATTAGGTAAGGGAGCAAACCCTATGGAAAAGGGGGAGAAAAACACTGTGGGGGGAGGGAATGGGCAGTACAAAGGCCCTGAGGCGGGAGTGCTCTCAGTGGCTAGGGAAGGGCGGATGAGGGGTTCACAAAGTGAGATGAGGTCAGAAGAGGCCAGACCTTGAGTGTGGGTGGCTCTTACGTCACTAAACAGACCCTTAATTCTGTGTCAAGGGAGGCAGGAACCATTGGGATTGACTGCCATGGTCTGGAGGACTGCTTTGGATGCTCTGATTGAGAACGCATAGTAGGGCTAAGGCTGGTGTGTCCGGGGTGGGAGCAGACGAGGTGGTAAGAAGCAGTCTGGTTGTGGAAGACATATATGCACCGGATCTGTATTGTGTTGGTTTATTTTTGTCTATTTTGAGATCTCTGGATTCTTGAAAAAGAAAATTTTGAAACGTACAGAAAAATGAATAGGGTACTCTCCCACGTATGTCAGCTGAATTTGGCATTTGTTTGTTTTGCTTTGTCTGTAAATATTTGTAGAGGGGGGGCATTTGAGGGTGACTATAGATCTTACAACATTTTGTCCCTGAACACATCAGCACACGTCTCTTAGAAATAAGAATGTCTTCTTACATCATCACAAGTACCGTCATTAGACCTGAGAAGACGGGCCCCTAGTTCTTGCTGATATCGAGGTGTATTTTGAAGGTTCCGAGGCAGAGGATGTGTTGGCAGGTGGCACCTGGCCTGAGCGGGGACTAGAGGGTGACCCCTAGCATCTGGGGGGATGGCCTTGCCAGCATCTGTGAAGGGAGGAGGAGGAAGAAGCCAGTGGTGTGGGGGATGCCTGCACACAGCCAGGCTGAGCATGAGGTCGGGCTGCTGGGCCACTTACCCGGCGGGGATGACGGCTGGCCTGGAGTCCAGGCTTCCCTGTGCTTGGGGAGGGACTGGGACGGGTCTTCATGGGAGGAAGGCCTCTCTGTGCTGTGGCATCAGCTGGAACCCCAGGGGTCACAGACCAGATCCAGCACAGGGCGTGTGGCTGTGGCCACGGGCCTGGTGCAGTTTTTATTTTTAATTTGAATTGGATGTCAAAACTTTAAACAATTGCACTTAAAATAAGATTGATTTCCACCTTGTCTTGAGAAAATCAGAAGATCGGGCAATACCGGCTCTGCTTTTCCAGGGAGCGGCAACTGGTTGAAGCAGAGATGTGGCTTCTGGGGAGGGTGAGCGGCCGGACATCTGCTGACTGCCGCACTCCCTGCCGCTCCCTGTTGTCCATCTGACACCAAGGCCCGAGAGTCCTGGCCCTGTGTCACTCCGCGATCACTGTTGCTTCCCTTATTACTCATTTATTTATTTATTTATTTATTTATTTTTATTTTTATTTTTATTTTTATTTTTTTAAATTTTTTATAAACATATATTTTTATCCCCAGGGGTACAGGTCTGTGAATCGCCAGGCTTACACACTTCACAGCCCTCACCGTAGCACATACCCTCCCCAACGTCCATAACCCCATATTTATTTTTTTAAAGATTTTATTTATTAGTGAGAGAAAGCACAAGCAGGGGGAGCGGCAGGCAAGGGGAGAGGCAGAGGGAGCAGCAGGGTCCCCCCTGAGCAGGTTGGAGGTTGTCTAGGCTCTCTCGATCCCAGGACCCGAGCAGAAGGCAGTCTCTTAACCGACCAAGCCCCTCAGGCGCTCCCTTATTACTTATTTAAAGGAAAAATTGCTTTGTTTTTTAAACATGTTTCTCTATCAAAAGTGGACAAGCAAAAGCCTGAGAGGTTGGGGGAAACTGTATTTCTCTGAGGAACAGACTATTCCTTCAGGGTTTTTTTTTTCCCCTTACCTGGGTCTGAGGCTTGAGCAGCCCTGGTGACACCTTCATGGTACTGCCTGGCCCCAAAGGGGGCTTTTGTGTTTGTGGGCAGTGCCATGAGAGACTGTAGGAGAAGGGGGAGGTGCTGGCTGATCTGGGCTTCAAGGCTGAGCAGGGATGGGCGGGGAATGAACAGTGCAGGCACAAGGGACCAGGGGCAGTGCCTGGGGACGTGTGGGGAAGGGGGCGAGCCAGCCAGGTGTGAGCGTCTCAGGTGCTCAGTGCAGCACCCCCTTGCTGAGCCGGATGCGGAAAGCGGCTTGTGTGCCAGGTAGGCCTGGGGGAGGGGCAGGCTAGGGTGCGGGTGACCCCACACATGGGGAACAGCTCAGGTGCTAGGACATAGACCGGACGGCCCCCAAGCCAGAGCCTCGAGTGTCCCCCGTCCCCACCCCCAGGGAACCGCTGTCAAGCCTAGTGCGGCGGTCCTAGAGGTAGTCTGCGCACCTAGAAGGATCTAGATGAGAGTATAACCTCCTTTTTTTAGAATACTTCCCTTAACAGTCACCATGGAGATTGCTTCGTGTTGGGACGTAAGGTTTGTCTCACTCTCTTTACCAGGTTCGTACTCTTCAGGGGCAGGAACGGGTCGTCATTTATTTAAACAGTCCCCACCCTGACGATCATTTCGGCTTTTTCCATCTTTTCTCCACACACGTGACCCTGCAGTGAGTCTCGTCCACGCCTCTTTTTATCTGCACTCAGGTGCGCTGGCGCTGCAGGTGGAGGGACTGTGTGCTTAGTCAGAGGTGAGGCGGTTGCAGGTGGGGTGTACCCCACCGTTTTCCTCCAGAGACGTGGCCGGCAGAGCTTCTTGGCCTCGGTGCGGCTGGGCCTTCGGGGCCGGAGGGTCTCGCCTGTGGGGCCGTACTGTGTGTGGCGGGGCGTAGAGAGGCCTCCCTGGGTTCTCCCCACCAGCAGCTGGGAGCGAGCCCCACCCCCGCCCCGGTGTGACACAGAAATATTTTTGGACGCTACCAAATGTGCCCCCCGAGGTGCAGAATTGTCGTCCATGGGGAGCCGCTGTAGGAGAAGGTTGGATGAGGGCCTTCTGGGTGAGCGTCCTCTCCTGTCCCCACAAGGGCCCCCAGTGCCGTCCTGCTCTTGGGGCTCTGCAGGCAGTGGGTGGTGGAACCAGGGGGCTAGGACCAGGGACAGAACAAGCTGTCACATCTGGGCTGACGCTTGCTGGCCGTGTGGCCTTGGGCTGGTGGCGTCACCTCCTGCGAGCTTTCCTGTTTCCTTATTTATAAAATGAGGCAAACGAAAGTTGCCTCCTGCATCAGTCCCAGACGGGAGCGGGGCAGGAAGGAAGCAGAAGTGTTCATCCAGGCCTGAGTCCGATGTGAGCTAGGGGAGGTCACCACACCTGCCGAGCCAGGTGTGTACACATCCCGGCTCCTTCCCCGTCCTGCGTGCCTTCTCCCTCGGGCTGCATCTCCTTCGCCCTAACAGCCAGTTAAAGCGCAACTGCAGAAATTGCTTCTTGGGGGTCGCTGTTTCCAGAACCATTTTGGTAAATATGACCCCCCCCGCCCCCGCTCTCCTCCCTGCCCCCCTCCACCACCAAAAGCTTTACCGGTCCATGCAGGAACCACACCAGGGTCCTCTTTTGGCGACCAGGTCACTGGGTCCGCACAGTTGCGCAGCATTGCTTGAGGGAGGGGGTGCCCGCCGCCGTTGGGGAGGCCCCACGGGAAAGGCGTGAAGGCCTCCCAGGTGGGGCAGTGCGGCTTGCGGGACAGGGTGGGTTAGTCACCAGCTGTTGACCTTGCTTTGAACTTGTTTACTGCTGAGTGAGTTCAGGGAATGACATAATGTCCTAACTTGCTGGACTAAATTTAGGCCCTAGGAAAATAATTTCCCCTGGGTGAGTTCCAGCACCAGCGCTAGGAGAATCCGGCCCCTGCACCGAGCCCTTGCGTGCTCCGTGAGCTTTAAGGCCAGTTCCCGCTGAGCTCTCGGCCGGGCCGGGGGTCAGCATGACTCTCTGGGTGGTTGGCCATGATTTCCAAGCCTCCGTGTCCAGCCTGCAGAGCTCACTGTAGGGCAGAGAAGGGTAGCCAAAGGAGGGCAAAAACAATTCAAAGTTTGCTAAAGCAGACATCCATTATGAGCTAGAATGTAACATTAACGTGGATTTCTTCCTTTTTTAAAAAATTGAGATGGAATTCACCTCTGTCTGGTTCCAAAACATTTCCATCACCCCCAAAGGAAACTCTGTGCCCATAAACTGTCACTTCCCCCTTTCCCCTTCCCCCAAACCCCGGCATCTGCCTGTCTGTTTTCTATCTGTATGGCTTTGCCTGTTCTGGGTGTTTCATAGAAGTGGGTGTATAGTATGTGGCCTTTTGTGTCTGGCTTCTTTCGCTCGGGATCATGTTTTCGGGGTTCCTCCGCATGATAGCAGGTGCTGCTCCCTCCTTCCTATCTGTGACTCTGTAATACTGCACTGTGTGGACTGTGCCCGTACCACGTTTTGTTGTTTGAGCATTTGTTAATTTACATTTGGGCTGTTTCCATCTTTTGGCTCTTAGGAATAGCACTGCCGTGAACACTGGTGTACAAATATTAGTGTGAGAACATATTTCCTGTTCTTTTGGGTCTCTCCCTGATGGTGGAGGAGCTGGCTTATACAGGGATTCTGTGTTTAACTTAACCTAATAGAGGCACCTGGCTGGACTGGTCAGTAGACTGTGTGACTCCGGATCTCGGGGTCGTGAGTTGGAACCCCACACACGGGGTATAGAAATTCCTTAAGTACATAAATTTTTAAAAAGGTAAAACAAAATATTAAAGAACTTCTGGGTTTATAGGGAGTGTGGTCCTATGTCCTAGGTACAGGTAGTCCCCCCTGGGGTTATTTTGTTCCTTGAGTACTTCCCCTGTCATTCCTTTTAAGTCCTCACCGAAACTCCACAGGGTGGCTATTGTCAACCGTGATGACTTGTAGGCCTCCCAGAGGAAACAAGCTGCAGAGGAGTCACATGAAGGGAACTCAGGTCTATCTCTAAACCCTAGGTCCTCCCAGGTAGCATGTTGTAGGCAGAGCCTAGCCCTGGAGAGGGCGGACCCCTGAGCCTCCCTGTGGCAGCAGGAACACCCAGCTCAGGCCCTGGCAGGGTGGTGGGTTTCTGAGTGCTGCCCTCAGGATATCAGGGCTGCTGTGGTTTGGGGAGTCAGAATATGTGTTAAGAGCAGCTCACCTGGGATGGACATGCTGGGAGGTCAGCCTCCTTGGGAGAGGGAGCTCATACACCTCCTTCCTGCCCTGCTCCCCAGCCCTCTGCTCCCCACTGGCTTCAGGCCATGGGGTGCTGCTGACTTGGTTCCCATCTCTCTGTATTGCTTGCTCGCTTTAAAACTTAAGCCTGGAGATAGATAGATAGATAGATAGATAGATAGATTTTTTTTTTCTTTTCTGCCTCAGGAACCCCAGAAAGTGAGGCATTCCTGAGTCTTCTAGTGCCCTTTGAAAAAATCAGGGTGACGGGTGTTGTTGGGGCCTCAAGTGCAAACAGAGTGGGGCCCTGGGCAAGATGTCACTGCTCCCACTGTGAGCTCTGCGCTTAGTGCCCAAAATAAGCGTCAGGTACAAACACGGCTGCCTCCTCGCCCACAGCCGCACGGCCTCATACGGACAGCTGTGGCCCGTGGCCTCCTTCTGCTAGAGGACTGTGCTGGGGAGGAGAGCAGGGAGACCGATGCATAAGAAATGGCCCAACTGACTGGCAAAACAGGATTCATAAATAAGTGATTGCTTGTTGGAAGCCGTGCAGCCATCTTGTCCACTCTTGTGTTTAGAGAATTTTAAAAGACGTGAAAATGCTTTCCAAAATTCTGTGTGATCTCTATTTGGGGAGAGCAGAGAATTATATGCACGTAGAGGGGAGGAAACATCTGGAGAGATGAAAATAAATCCTCTGAGATGTTAGGAAATAAATCCTCCGAAATGTTAGTGGGATGGTAGTTGTGGGTGGGGTAAGATAATCAGTGATTTTAACTTTATTTGTTCCTGTGTTTTCTGTTTCCGTGCAATCGTCAGTCATGGCTCTGACGATCAGGAAAATACCCATGTTATTAAGAGAAATGTCTACAAAGGGGCAGTTTACCTCTCCGGGCTCCCCAGGAGGAGGACGCGGGGCTCTGGGATGGAAAAGGGAGGAGTCAGCAGCCATGATGGTCGGGGTGCGTTGTGTCCACCAGAGGGCGCCAGCTGCACGCGGCACAAAGCGTGGAGCGTCCCCTAAGCTGTCCTTCCTCTCAGGGCACATGGCAGGTGGTGGGTGTGCAGGCAAGGGTTGGGGGTCCCAGGGCTGCTTAAGACAACGCCCCGAGAGAGGCTTCCCAAGCGCCCCGGCTCGCTGCAGGCCTGGCAGACCGCCTGGCCACAAAACTCCCCAGTTCCAGGTATTTTTAGTAATGGGTCCATCTGGCTCCACATCTCACGTGTCTGCAAACAGCTTCTGTCATCTCTCTTCCCCTCAGATGCTTCTGACGAGCAGAATTCGCAGTCTTCAGTGGAAAACTCGGTGAACAGTTCAGAGAAAGTGGAGCGGCAGCCATCTGGAGACGCGGGCCTGGCTGCGGAGATGTCGGCAGCCTCTCAGGTACCTCGATCAAGGTCTCAGAGGGGCAGCCAGATCAGCCGGGAGCCTGTTGGGGTGTCGGGGGTACGTTGAAAGGTATTTTGTTATTTTGTTCCGTTGTTTTCCTCTTGGAAGACTGGCGTTCGCCTGCATTCGATGAGCGGGAGCCGTGAGATCCCGGGCATCAACCCTCAGGGAGCAGGGTGTAGGAAGAGGAGGCGGCCTTTATCCCAGCCTCGGCTTTGTCACTTTGTCACAAATGTCTTGCCTGCTCCAGTGCCCCAGAGTCAACTCCCTTCAGTGCAGGGACAATACGTCTTCAGAATCCTGAACACCAGATAACTCGTCCTTTGGAATTTTGCAAATGACCGCACCACCCCCTTGCTTGGACCCCATTCTGGGTCACCCCCTTCGTCAGCATCTGGTCTGAATCAGTGCAGGAGCAGGTGGCCAGTAGCTAGGAACAAACATCCTGAGTTCGAATCCCAGCTCCTTCACTTGGCATAACCGAGCCTCCCTGTCTGCAGCTGCCAGACTGGGACCCCAGAACTGTCTTGGGGCCAGGGCACATGGGATGAGAGAATGTGGCGAACACATTCGGTGTGGAGCTGGACACGGAATGCCTCAGGTGCCGTGTCTGTGGTTTTTCACCGTCTACCTTCTGTGCTCACCTAAGATGAGTGGGGACTCCGAGGCATTGAAACTTGAACTAATAAGAGTATAGTCCGGTCCCTCCGGAGAAAGTGACAGGAGGTGGCCGCAGAAAGACTGGAAGGGGCCAGGCTGCGGCAGGAGTTGGTCTGCGCTGTGCAGAGCCTTGAGTCAGGCCTCCCGCAGGGGGCCGTGCCTCCGGGACTCTAAGGTCTAACTCCCCCTTGGCTCTGCAGAGCCCGCCTCCAGAGGCCCAAAGACACGGAAGGAGTGTTGATGGAAGGTGTGTTTGCAGTGGTAGGAAGCAGGCCTCAACCTACGTCTGTTCAAAGGGGACTGGTTGAATTAACCGGGGGTCATGGATCAAACAGGCCCGTATGCAGCTGTTATACAGAGTGTGGCTGACCCAGGTACAGACTGACCAGAAAGAAATAACCTCCTGATGTGAAATGAGAAAAGCAAGACCTAGAACCTCAGGCACAGTTGGAGCCCATTAGATTAAAAATCAGAGCCTCCTGTACAGTGTATAAAACCAGGATGTCTGCTGGGGTCTCCTGGCCTCCTGAACTCGATGGAAGAAATGTTAGCTTGAACCTTTGATCCGTGCCCTGGGGGCATCTAGTACCCCCCGCCCCACCCCAGATATCTGAAAGGTACAGGGACCTCTCATTCTCACAAGCCCCCTCCTCCACTCCCATTTCCGTGGGACCCAGACCTGGAACGGAGCCTCTTCCACTGTTCTCAGGGCACACGGACACAGATACTCATCCACAGAGCGCCTACGCTCGTGAGCACGGTGGAAGATACCGTACAGCTGCGCAAGCAACTTGACACTGACATTTGGCCGTTTCTGTGTTTAAAAAAAAAAAAAAAGGTACCCCAGCCTCCTGAGAGGAGCAGAACTCCGGCTCTTCTCCCCTGTTGCACTGTCCTGAGCTCGTACGCCCCTCTCGCTCCCTTTTCCCTTTCTCGTCGACTCCCACGCTCGCCCATCCCAGTACTCTGCAGCACCAGAGAACCTTCTCGCCAACAGGACCCAGCGTCCTCTGAAGGCGCAGTACCCGCTTTCTCCCGTTGCGTCTGTGTCGGGCTTCTGTTGCTTTCGGAATGAGAACCAGGGAGAACACAGAAGCAGTTCTTTCGGCCTCCTTGTGATGCCGGCTCTCGGGGTCTGTTACTAGAAACTCCCACACAGCCCACATCAGGCCCTGGGGGCTCCCTTAAACATATGTTGCGCGCCCACTGGGGGGGCCGGGCGCTGTGTCAGAATCTAGGGACCCAGGGTAAGCCGGAGACGGGGTCCCTCCCCGCCTTCATGGGGTTCACCGTGGGATGGGGCAGGAAGAGACACAGCCGGGTTTGGCAGCCATAGGCAGGTTACAAGGTCATCACACGTGCTGCGGAAGAACCCACATGAGGCTGGAGGGAGGCCTGACGGTAGAGCATTCTTCGGGTTGGTGTAGGCAGAAAGACAGGCTAGGAGTAGGAATTTGAAGGTGGAGAAAAAGAGGGCCATGAGGGCAGGCTTTCTGGGCTGGGCCTGGAGACAGGAGCAAGCCTGAGGAACAAAAGGGAGTTCAGGGTAGCTGGGGCCTAGCAGACAAGGAAGAGAACAGGCAGGCAAGGCACTGAGGTAAGCGCGGGCTGGGTGCTGGGCCTTCTCAACCTGTTGAGGAGTTGGGATTTTGCTCTAGAGGCAGTGGGAAAGGATCCTCGGGTTTTATGTTCTGTGTATGATTGCTGTTTAGGTATTTCTTGAACCGTGTGGAAAGCTGGGTCAGGAGACCGCGGAGCAGGGTGTGGCTTTGTCTGGGCAGGTGGCGGTACAGGTGCAGATGGGGTGGGCGCGGCTGCGAGCAGAGGGGAGGGGGGCAGGCCCAAGGGTATTTGGGGATGGAGTTGGTGGGACTTGCTGATAGGTGGGGTGTGGGAGCGGGAGGAGGAAACGAGGCCACGGGGGTGCTGTCAGCTTGATCCTGGGCGCATGTGGGGTCAAGACAGACTTGGTGAGGGGCCGGTCGGGGTGGGTAGTCATCAGCTGGTCTCGGATGATGGGTCAGGCAGAGATGCCTGTGTGGGAAAGTCGGGGTGCCGGACTGAGTGCCCTACCTTTCTGGGCCACGGGGCTTCGGAATGTGGTCACAGCTAATGGGCTTTTCCGCAGAGTAACACGTGTGTGCGTTCACCAAACGCTGAGTATTGGGGGAGCCACTGACCACGGGGCAAGGTTGGACGAGGCCTTCGAACTTGGAGAGGTCCCCTCGGAACTCATGCACAGATAATTACTCTGGCAATTCATGACAGACCGGAAGGCTGATAATGGGGAGACCTGCCCGGGGCTGGTGTGGGGAAGGGGCCGGGGGCGCTTAGAGGCACATGCTTGGAAGAGGGAAGCCGCCGTGGCGGGGACAGGCAGGCCCGGGGGACACAGGGCTTGGTGAACGGGGGACGCAGGGTCAGAACTGTGAGTCCGAACCACAGAGGCTGGTGCTCCGTTTCCTCCCGGCCGGCCTCGCCTGCCTTCCTGGCGTGGTAACCCGCATCCTGTCTTCTTCTCCCCTAAGGATTTGGAAGGAGTGCCCCCCTCGAAGAAGATGAAACTGGAGACCTCGCAACAGAACTCTGAAGAGATGTAGACCCTGCGCTCAGTCCTGCTTGTCCACGCGCCACGGGGGAGACACCTGCAGGCTGAATCCCAGACGGCTTCACCTGCGTGGTTCCTCTCGGGCGTGGACAGAACTACAGACTTTCCGAGTTTACCAAGTGCAAATCCAAGAAAACCCAGAACAGCGTAACTTCTCAGACACTGAAGAACTTTTCTGCTGTGAAGCAAAACACTCGGGTGTTGGAGGGACTGTCCTTGGGAAGGCGGGGTCGACCGCTCAGGAGTGTCTGCACACTGTCTCTGAAGCCAAGATTACATTCGTGTTGCTGCTGTATTGTTTTGTGTCCCTCCCCGCCCCAACCTCTCTATTTAACGATATAAGCTACTCGAGGGTCGTACCGATCAGGGAATCGGTTCTCGTCCGGGCTTTTCACTGTTCGCCCGATTCCTTCCGCTTTCTTTTTTTGTGCCTTGTGCCCTTGAGGTGACCTCTGGCATGTTTTCCTGGTTGTTTTGCATCTCCCTTTGCAAAGTGCCCTCGGTTTTGTCCGGGCAGCCCATGCCACCGTCCTCACACCTCTCTCCTCCCTGACCTGGGACTTCAGCTGGAGCGGAGCAGGCAGGGGGGAGGGGGCTGGAGGCCCGCACGAGCAGGACCTCCTTGGCCGCCCGGTTTGCCGGTGTGGGGGTGTTGGGCGTGCCCTGGGCCCCGGGTCCTGGGTCCAAGGTCCGAGGAGTCTCGGATGTCGGAGCGCTGTCCCCAAGGGCTGGCTTCGGGACGTTCTCTCTCACTTCCTCGGGGCATCTGAGGCCGGCGTTTCCAAGCCCACCGTGGCCCAGACGGACACACAGAACCCTTCGACCGCTCTGACACGTGCGCCCTCTACCCCGACCACACCGCTTTCTCCCACACCTCCGAAGATGAAATGGCTTCTGTGGCTGACTGCAGGACTGTCTCCTTAGGACGCTAAAAGGGCCGAGGGGGCTGGGAGCCAAGGGCAGGAAGAGCTGGTGCTGAACTTTCTCATAGGATGTTGCCTGGATTTCAAATCCGCAGGAACCTGCTACCCTCTGCCTCCCCAGCTTCACTTGGCAACGCTCCCCCCGCCCCAGGGGAGGCAAGACTGCGAAGTGTTCTGAGGCTCAGAGCCGGCAGTCAGATGGCCTCCTGCTCCCAGGATGCACGGACGGCCCCCACGGGGGAGCTGACCCTGACAATTGGGCCTCAAAGGCCAGAACGAGGCACCAGGGAGTGGAATGCTCTGCACGCCTCCAGAAGGGGGCGACCGAGGCCCCCTCCTCGCCTCCGTCCTCTGCCTGTGCTGGGACACCTTCCTCTCACTAAAATGGAGTTGGCCCCTTGGACAAACTGCCTGATTGTTAGGTTCTGAGGCCTGGTTTGCTCTTAATTCCTAGATGGACTCCTCGGACCTTAACCCTTTTCCTGAGCTTTCTTTACTGCACTGGAGTTCCAACTCCCTTTGAGTTGAGTGAGGGGGTGGGTGGGTCGGGGGGAGGGGGTTTGCTTTTGTTTTGTGGTTTGTTTTTTTTGTTGTTGTTTTGTTTTCGTTTTCGTTTTGCTGATTGGTGCATATCCAGGTACTACCTTCAAGACCTTTGACGTGGGGCTCTCTCTCCTGACCACGATGGAAAGTGTCTGCCAGTTCCTAAGGGTGGGCTCTCCCTTGTTTCTAAGGGAGCCAATCTGTTTCCTGCACTTCAAGAAGAATCAAAATGTTCCTGAATTTCAAATACCTCATGCAAAATGGTCTCCTGAAATAAGGGAAAAAAAAAACAAAAAAACAAAAAACAAAACACAAACTTTGAAAATCTTAATGTTGAAGTTCGCAATGCCGAAAGGTTTCTGTCTTAAAAAAAAGAGAGAAAAATCCTTATCAGTTTTGCCCCTCAGGCAGTCAGCTCCGTGCAGAACCCCGTTCTGCGTTACCTCTCACATATCTCCAGGCGGCTTTACCTCCAGAGCCTCTAAAGCTAGAGTAACTTTTTTTTTCTTTGCAGCAAAACTCCATTTTGACGAAAGATGAATTTGGATATTTATTTCCTTTCTTTTGGGGAAATGAGAGGTTAGAAGCAAAACAGCTGAAGGAGAATCACACGCATCCACAGACACCACACGGCGGCCAGGCCCACCGCCCCCCCGTCCCTCCCCTGCCCCCGCATGGGGGTCCCCTTCCGGTTGTGGTGGCCTCTCTGGACAGGCAAGGGGAGTCAACGCCGTTGAGGATGAAGACAACATCTGCGACACTGAGGCTGTCATTTGTTTTTCTCTGAAGTGCCTGAAGGTAGGAAGGGGCCCGTGGCTGGGACCCACTGGGCCCCCATGCCCCCGCCGCCGCGGCCCTGCACTCATCACTGGCCGGGAAGGCCTTCCACGCGGGACGGTGAGACTGCAAAAATCCAGACGTGCTTCCTTCCCCAACGCAGTCCGCTCCCCGGAGCCACTGGCCCCGCCTGCCCTGCGCCCCTCGCCCCCTCCCACCATAGAATCTAAGACCTTTCAGCTGGCCGAGCCAGGGACGGGGGTCCCCAGCAGAAGCCTTCCGCGGCCACCAGGCCCCATGGCCTAAAGGGCTCCCAGGGCAACCTTACTCCCCGCCACCCGTGACGTCGAGGGAGCTACATTCCACAAAGTGCTGGCACTTACACCCAGAACCCGGAAGGCTGTGGACCCGTGTATAGGGTGGTGACCTCCCATTACGAGCGATGTCATGGTTTGGAATGTTCATTATCGCCAAGGACCCGGTTAGAGGTATAAAGACCTTTTTTTCACTGTTACCTAATTTTTTTTTTCCCTATTACGTTTTGGGTTTTTTGTTTTGTTTTTTGTTGTTGGTTTTTGTTTTGGTTTTGTTTTTTGTTTTCTTTTTTTTTTTTTTTGGTGTGTTGTACAGCAGTATAATTTTTCACTTATTTATTCCATCAAGTAGATATGGTTTGTACAATGTACAATGGTTCCATTTCAGAAAATAAAAAAAATTCAAATCATGACCACCACGTGATTCTGTAGCATTATAATAGTAAATGTGATGGATGGTGAGAAGGTCCCGCACTGGTGCTGGTCTCTCCTGACCACCTGTATAGCCCTGACCTTGTGTGGGACACTGAGCTCCTTGCAGGCAGGGACTGTCAACTCCCATGGTCGTGTTAGCTACCATCACGAAGCACGGGCTGGGTACTCTGGGCAGGTGTTGGAGACCACCCTGTTGAGGTGAGAACACAGCCCGTCGCATAGCCAGGCAGAGCCCTTCTGGAAAAGCGACACCTGCTGCCTGGTCAAGGGCACCAGCTTGCTATGTCCCTGACTTTGGGAGGCTGTGACTCATGGCAGGGGCTCTGAGGGGTCAGCTTAGGGGTTGATTGTAACTTTTTCTTGACTTGTCTTAACTAAGTGACTTGTGGCCAAGCCAGAGCCAGAGCCTTCCCAAGGCCCGTCCCTCTCCCAGCAGTGGGGGCACTTCTCTCCGTCAGCTCGGACTCCCTCCCCGGAGTTGACTATTCCTTTTTGGGCCTGTCTCACTGCCTCATCTTACACCTGAAACCTGAACTTGGCTGAGCCGCCTGCAAGGGGTATGTGTGTGGGGGGGGTAAGATTATGGTTTAAGCCAGGCCTGCCAAGACTCACCATGTTGACCCACTTGGAGGCAAATGTTCTCTTCTTTGTTTTGTCTGCCTCTCCTCCCCACCCCACCCCCTCCTTTTTAACATGTTCTAGTGTTTTTCCCAGGAGTGATTACGCAGCAAAATAAACTCCTGAACTCCGATAGAGAAAGTTCAACTTGACAAAACAGAAATCACAGGAGCCTTGTTTGCTCAAGCAAAACTTCAGCTCACGCCCTTTGGCTCCCTCCTTTGATGTCTTCTCTGTGTGTCTGCATCTCTGTCCTGGAAGAAGGTCCTTCCAGACTTGTCTCTCTGGCTCTACCACCCTTGTCTCCAACAACCCCCCCACCCCCCGCTATTATGTTTCTCAGTCATTCTCTTTCTGTCTTGGCTTCCCTATCGCTTCCGGCTTCCTGTCCGTGTGTGGAACTCTGACTTGCTCTCATGTGCCATTAATCTTGTGCATGAGCAGTCGTGCCCAAGAGCTGGAAATGTAGGCTTTGCAGGTGTTCCTGTGAGCGTCCTGTGTGTGCTGGGCCCTGGACAGCAGTGACTCAAGCTTGAGCCTTTCCTTCTAGGCAAAAAAAAAAAAAAAATGAGTCGGTGCCAGGATGGCCAGCACAGTTTGGAATTAGGGGACGTGCATTTCGATGAGGGGTCGGCATCAGGGAGGCTTCTGGGCAGAGAGAGTCCATGCATGGGGCTAAGAAGGTCGTTTTTCCTTGATGCTATGGAGTAGGTGGGAGGCTTCTGCACCAGGGCCCTGCTGGAACAGGGATGGTATTTCCAGGGAATGGCATGGATTGGAAAAAGCCAGACTAGAGGTGAGGCAAAAACTGGAGCGATAGGCCATGCAGGAGGCCGGGAGTTGACAAAAGGCCAAGTATTCCCAGGCAATCAGCACTGCAGCCTGGTGGGGTGGAGTCAGGTGGGCTGGAAGGGGCAGGTAGGGAAACTCACGTCCAGGTCTTAGCCGAGACTAAAGCAACGCGGTCCTGGAGGTCCACAGTCAAGACCAAGGAGGGATTGCGACCTTCAGGGCCAAGTCTAACCATCCCCCTTCTCCAGGTGAGGAATGCTTTATTTCTCTCTAGAGGCTCATAGAAGACACCTTGCTCTTTGCTGGTTGCATTCTCCTCTTCTGCCAGTAGGGGTCACTCCTGCCCTCTCAGTCCCTGGGCCAGCCAGGTGTTGCAGGCAGGTACCAGCAGCATGGTCCCTCCCCCCACCAGGGTTGGTTCAGGGATGATCACATGGGCCAAGGTTGCCCAGTGAGAGTCAGCTCTGGGATTTCTGTGGGAACTGCTGGGGACGGGTCCTCCCAAAGTATTCACTAGGGAATTCCCTAAAGGGCCACCTCTGCTGCAACGTTGGGAGAGTCCTGCTTGAGAATGAAGGGAGCACTAGTACAAGTTGAAAGGGGGAGTTCAAGGGGCGCCTGGGTGGCTCAGTCATTAAGCGTCTGCCTTCAGCTCAGGTGGTGATCCTAGGGTCCTGGGATTGAGCCCCACATTGGGCTCCCTGAGCAGCAGAAAGCCTGCTTGTGTTCCCTCTCTTGCTGTGTCTCTCTTTGTGTGTGTCAAATAAATAAATAAAATCTTAAAAAGGAAGAAAGAAAGAAAGATAGAAAAGAAAGAAAGAAGGAAAGAGAGAAAGAGAGCAAGGAAAGAAGGAAGAAAGGAAAAAAGAAAAGAAAAGAAAGATGAGGAGTTCGAGCTTCTGGAGAGCTGCATTTAACCACTTGGCCCCAGCCGGCCCTGAAGCCGGCCGCCTCCTGAACTTCTCAATCCTGTGAGTCAATGAATGCCCTTGCTGGTTTAGGTCCATTTTCCCTGGGTCTTTTCCCACATGAGCACCCCCGACCCCGTCGTCTGTCCCAGGGCTTGGAGCATCACCTGGATGAATCCAGAAGGAGGGGTGGTTAGCCCTACAGTAGCTCTGACTCCCGAGACACTCTCTTTTCCCCCTCACAACTTCCCCTTTTAATGCTCCCATGTGACAAGGACTTAGATGATTCACTGAGTTGAGGAAAAGGATATAAACAGGATAACACAGACCCGTTTTGGACTTCTGAAACAGCCACTGCTGTCACCCTCAGAGCTCCAGCACTTCAGAGCTGTGTCACCCCAGGTAAGTGTTTTAACCTCTCTGGGCCCTCATTTCCTCATCTGTAACATGGGAAGAATAATAGTGCCTACTGGGGTTGTTGCAAGGAGTAAATGAATTAATACAGGTGAAGGGCTTGGGACAGGTCCTTGCACATAGGAAATCTCAACAAATGGTAGCTGCTACTATTATTGCTATTATAGTTACTATCTTCGATCACGTCTAGACTGCAGGAGTTCCACTCCTAGAGAACGAGGCACAGGGAAAGGCAAGAATTGCGCACCTCCAGCTGCTTTGGGCTTGCCTTCTGAGTTATGCTTGACTCTCTGAAAACCAGCCTTTTCCCCCAAATGACTGACCCTGGGGTCATCCACCCAGAGTCATCAATGGCCTGAATCGTGCCTTGAAGGATGAGTAGAAGGGTGCCAGGAAACAGGAAGAAGGGAAGACACTCCTTCTAAGGAGATAAGGACACATTCCTGTTGCACTTGCTGGCTGCTCAGTAAAGCAGACCCAAGTGGGGAGCTTCAGGGGCCCGGGGTCTCAGAAGAGCAGCCCACTGGGAACTCAGTTCTCCAGGCTTCCTTCTTCACCCCTGTTCTTCCTCCACAGTCTCTTGAGAAAAGAGCCTCTGGGGAGCAAGAACCAGGATGTGGCGTCGGGCCTGTGGCTCCTGACTCCCCTTCCAGGATACCCCTGGGATGCTGGTGCCCATGGAGGCACTGGGTGACTCGAGGCCAGTGGCTTTCTCTCCTCAGACAGGAATATTGGCAGGAAGAACCGTTTGCTTTGCACCAAAGGATCTCAAGAGACTCTTCTAATTCCTGCTCTTTTCTGCCTCAAGGCTCCCTTGGTAATGAGCTCATTTGACCTCTGTGCCCCCTGGGATGGTAGTTTAGAGCAGAGACCGGCCTCCCCATTATGCAGATAGGAAAACTGGGGCCAGGGAAGGACCTGAACACAGACTCAGTGAAGGAGGCTTTGGAATTCAACCTTTCACTAGGCGAGGGCTCAGCAAATCCAGCCCACCGCCTGTTTTTGTAAATAAAGTTATTACTGGAGCACAGCCACGCGCGTTCATTTACACATCATCCCGGGATGCCTTCACAAGACAACAGCAAAGGTGAATCGTATCTACAGAGGCTGTATGGT